TTTTTAAAGTGTAACATCGGTATGTAGTAAGTGTAACAACATACCGATGTTACACTTTAAAAAAATCTTTTTTGTTGTTACACTTTGAAAAAATTCGATTTTGTTGTTTCATTTCAATAAATTTTTTATTTTTGTTTCACTTATATGTGTTGTGAATAGAAGTTGCGTTTTCATTCTCGGACATTCATATATATATATCTATACTCCCGGTTCGAAAATATGCTTCAAAATGTACATACTCAATGCTAATTAATTCATGGAAAATACATTGGAGTTGCGTGCATTTGATTAACCAATGGCCTGTTGCACTATTTAGTAAACGGAATGCATCAAATATTTTTTTTATAAATCAAATATTTTTTTACCAAAAGCGTTGGCTACAATTTTTCGTTACCAATGAATTAAATATTGCATCGACTGGTCGTTCAATCTGAAACGAGTGCGGGTGCAGTTAACCCCATCCAGTCGGAGGTTATTCCGTTTGGGAGTGAATGAAAAGTGAATCAAGACACATACATACATAGAAAATAGGCATGTTTTATACGCTTGAAGGATGCCACTTTCGAATGGTATTACATTATTGAATCGACCCAAAGATTTTAAAATTATGACATCATGAATTTGTGTAATTTTTAAAACTGCCGATTTTTTTTTTCAAAACAGGATTTTGTTTTAATTTTCAAAAGAACCATCCCCATTGAAAAAGTTTTTCTACACTATTTTTTACACACCGTCTCCACTCGCATTAAGTTCCCATTACATTAGATACACGTTGACCGTTGAAATCCAATGGAAGTGGAGAATAGTGTAAAGCTGTTTGAAGTTCTTTAAATTTTTGGAAATAACTACAGATCCCTTAGCGTAGTATTTTTGGAGCTCTAACAAACGTGATATTTTATTTTGTGAAAAAAATTTAATTTTCATGATATTTTTCGAGTCGACATTTTTGATAACAACAACAGGCAATATTTCACGAACAAAGGTCTCAATCGAAAATCCAAAAAATACAGTTTGGTTCCTTAAGGCCAATTTCAACGACTGCTAGTGTCGAACGTAAATGCACGTAAATGCTGCATAATATTAAACGCACCCATTAATTTTTCATTGTTTTCCTATTAAGAATGGATGCGTTTAGTATTATGTGACTTGACACTAGCAGGACACTAGCAGTTGTGGGCCAATTTACAGTTCGCCATGCGAAAAAAAAATTTGCATTGATTTTTAGGTACCTAGCCCGGCCATGCGAGAAAAAATATGGTATTTCATAAGAGATAAAAAAAAATCTTAATCGTTATCGGGTTAAACTGTGGAAATTTTGCATGATTGACATTCGCATGCTGAAAATTCTAAACCAAAACGATTTTTCACACAGTTTATTACAATTTTGTAACTTGAACCGTGATTTTACCGATGCTATCGTTTGTTGAAAATGAAAAATTCAATACGGTTAGCAAATTGGTCGTAATCAATTGATTGGAAGGCATTTAGGTATCATTGCCGTTTTTCACATGTGTCTAAAGTAGACGTTGACTTGGCTTCGTAAAGTAAGAATGTATTTTGCGATCACAATGTTATTAATTCACTCACTCTTGACTACCACGCTTTTAATCCATGGAATCAATGGATTTAATGAAACCGATGACGATGGTGATGGAATGGTTCACTTGGCATTACCGGAAGCTCAGCACAATATATCATCCATCTTGTGTATAATTAAATTTTGTGAAAAATATTTTCGGTCCGAAAAAGCGGTCATCGGATCGTTAGTCATAGTAAACGTGCAGAATACCACAGAATTTCATAGTGAGCTAATTATCATGCTGAATGAACATGCCAATTATGATCTGGGAGTTATGACTAAAGGTAAGAAAGCTAATAAAGTGTATAAAATAATGAATATTAATGAGCTAAAATTCGTTCTGGTTGATAACCTCAACCTAAAATGAAAGATGCAACCAAACCGCATGGAAATCCATTGCACGTTGTCGATAAGGCGAAAAATTATTTTGTTGTATTTAATAAAACAAGTGAAGTGGGTGATGCCATCAATCAGTGGTAAGTTTGAGGATATATAGTTTTTGCTATGTTAAAATGGAAGTCGCCAGAAGAATAAACATCCAGATTGATATGAATCATTTCAATTTTGATTAGGAATCGACTTCCAACTTGGAACCCAATTGCACAAGTTGTGGCTCTGTTCATTAATACCTACGAAGACGAAGAACTTCTTACCCAAATGCAATCGATTTTACAATTGTTTCTGAATCGCCACATGATCAATGTAAATGTTATCTCATACCGTTATAATTCTAGTATAGTACAAGCCCATACTTTTTATCCATATGATGGTAATAATTGCGCCATGGAAGTCACTGAACTACATCTAATCGAAGAATGTGAATATTTGGACGAAAATCCATTTGATCCAGTGATTACTATAGTAAACAGACTTAGGCCGAAAATTCCAAACAATTTACATGGCTGTGAGATGCGAATTGGAAGCAGTATCATTGAACCGTTTGTATTCCTCGACGAAAACAGTAATTCATTTGACATGGGCCTGGAGGTTTTGATGATACGAACGATTGCACAAGCTTTGAAAATGACACCACTTTTTATGCGCGTGAACGGAACTCGCGAAAATCGTGCAGTGAGCAATGAAACAGGCATCTATTCCACTTTATTGACACAGTAATTGATACCGATTGGATTTTAACGCGCTATTGTTGTGACAAATTAAATTGGCAATTATCTCTTGGCAGGAAAGCTGATATATTGATTGGTGGCATGGACAATGATGCTCGCGTGCAGAAAATTCTATGGGTCTCAATTCCATACATTCAGGACGATCAAACATGGTGTGTTGCAACAGCACGACCGCAGGATCTTTGGCAGAATATTTTCAGCATTTATACGGTTGGCACATGGTTCACACTGGTTGCTGCCATTTTCTTCAATGCCCTAATCATTTATATGTTGATTCGTGTCGAAAGTAAAAATGAGAGCTATGTATGGACGCTGATGATGGCAATGGCCTCCGGACTGGGTCAGTACGCAACCTATGAGCCACAACGGGTTTCTGTTCGAGTGATGATGGTTTTTCTCTTTATGTACGGCATCGTGATGAGTTCGTCTTTCAATTCATTTCTGATTGGAATTTTAACTCGGCCACGTTACAAGCAACAAATCAATAGCTTAAATTTAGCCATTAAACATGATTTCAAATTCAGCGGTGGTGAAGGTATATTAATTCAATTAAATTATTAGTAATTACATATTACTATTTGCTCTCTTACAATTTTCGACGAATTTTGTAAAGTTTTCAATTTCCAAAAAGAAAATGAATTTCAAAAAATACTTCTTCTTATTTAATTCATTTTTATAAAAAAAAAATCAGTGGCCCTGTCTCATTATCTGGGCAATGACGAGGTAATACATTGCCCTCGAATTCGTTCATTTTGAACTCACTTGATTCATCACCAATACAGTCGTATACTTTTCTTTCAGACTTCTGTCGCTGTTCGCAAACATTTCGAGATTTGTTATTACACCGATGAATGTTTGAAGCGTTTGGAGTACGATGAAAAATTGGCGGTAGCTGTTTCGCGATTGCACGCAGAAAATACACCAGCAATCTCTAGATCCAAAATGTTTTGTTTTCCACGATCGAATAATATCTACAGTTACTCGATTGCGGTATATTTATATTTATATTCAATTTTAAACAATTTCATAATTTATATATTTTTTATTTTTAAAGATGCCAATCAAGCTGGATTACCATATGCTGCCGGTAATTAATTATAATATCAGGCAACTGTTTGAGTTTGGATTGACAGAACGATGGAACAAACTGAGTCAGGCAATTGCCGCAAATGAAGAAATAAAAAAGATTTTAAACCAAGCAGCCAGCGGAAAAGATGATGATCAATTGGTGGTTCTGACTGTTCCCCATATTATGGGAGCTCTTCTAATTATGAGTTTTGGTCATTTCATAGCCTCAACCACGTTTTTAATTGAGCTCTGGATTAATCGTAAAATTGGGCATATAAAATGCGCAAAAATTTGGTTGATCTTGCACTTTTTTTTAAAGCCCAAATAGAAATAACAATAACTTATGTAGTTAAACGCCGCTTAGTAGGCAATAATTTTCTCCTTTCTATTCTCATTCATCCACAACACGCAATGAATTTAGTTGGTATATCGCTTAGCGCTCACCTGATTTAAATGCAGCATGCGTAGCGGAAAAAAACACACAGACAACGGAGAAAAAAAAAACCTTAGTAGATGACGTGAATTGAGACGGATAGTTAAATTACCGGCTTCTGTAGACGGATTCAACTGATGCGCAAGCCGCAATTAGTAATTATGATGTTGATTGTGTGTTTAATACGTTTTAAATGGTAAATCTATGTTAGTGTGACTAGCATATAAGCAGCAAGAGTTCGTACATAATCGTAGCAAATATGCATATGTGTTGAATGTGTAAGTGAATTTTAATCAAATTGAGACATAATAATAAAGGACATAAGACACACAACCAGTTGTTAGAAAGTGGTTAGGCGACCATTACTTTTACTTTTATTCATATTCGCTAATTTCAGCTGTATTTGGACAGAATTTGAACCGTACCTGATTGTTAAATTGTGACAATATATAAATTGCCATTTGAGAGAAGAAAAAAAAACTGATAACATTATGCTCCATGCTAAATATTCGAAATATGAGGTAATCTTTTGCTCCAGAACAGCCAACAAACGGTATAATTGTACACGCACACAAGTAGCGGTACGACAAGAGTGGCATTTTGAAAGATTCGGTGAAAAGGCGAAGAGCGAAACTGTGTTGAAACTAATGCAAAAATCAAATTGCAATACCATTTAGCAGCTACAACAGCAACAGCAGCCGACAAGCATGAGAAAAATCCAAGACGCGCACAGACAAACCAATATATAGACAAGCGTACGCCTCAACTGAAGCACTTTTTGTGTGCAAAACAAGAGACCAAACAAACAATCTCTCCGTATATTGTGTGTGTATATTATTTGTGATACGCTTTTCTCCGTGAAACAGTTGGTTTAGCGCTTTTGGATCGTTCACATCGTCTTTTGTTTTTGCTTCTTATTTTTTTTTTACAGTTTTTTTAAAACGATTTTTTCAGCTGGTTACTCTGATTTTTTTTTTACAAACGGGTTCGGTTGTGAATTTCACGTGTAAAGTGGTTTCATAGAAAAAGGTAATTTAATTAAAGTTTTGTTTTGTTTGGTTTGGTTTTGTTTTTTTTTTTAATATATTCATCATATGTGCAAATTTTTGTAAAATTTTGTGTCGGTCAAAAAGTACCATAAATCGAATCTGGATAACAACTATCTAGTCAGGCAAATGTAAATTCATTCTGCATTTCGAGCTGAAACCCTTTTTTTTCCCTTTGAAAAAATATAAAGAAAAATATGTCAAAAGCAATTTTTATTAATCGAAAGTGAAAGTCCGAATAACATTAAACAAAAGAAATGGTCCAGTTGAAAAGAAACGGCGAATATAAACCAACAAAATTTCAAATCGAATCGAAAACAAAACGGTGACGATAATAAATGTTTCAATTGTGTGAGATATGACGCATTACACGCGCTAAGATCGCTACTTCTAGGCAAATTTTTGCTTTTAACTCGACGACGAAAATTACTTAATACTGCACGTTGAGATGAAATAATAGCAGTGCCATACCCCCTGAATGCTAAACATCATTACATCTTTATTACTCGATTTTTGTGTGTGCTGTTGTTGTGCTATTTTTTGCTTTGCATAAGAAAATTCGGTTACGCGAGCGTTAAGTGAAAACTACAATGAGAAGAATTTTATTGAGATGCAAATGCAATGATTGTTCCGTAACCGTTTATTTTATTGGGCCCATTTCATTTTATTACAATGTAGCACCTCTCTTATCCCAATAAATTCATCATACATCATTGGTTCGGCGTTGTATGACCTCTATCAATATCGTGAATCATCCGATCAACGTGAGAGAAATATGTAAATTGAAATCATTTCACGGCTACTGATAATGATCTATCATTCTCTTATGCCATTAAAAAATTGTTTTTTGTTAATGAACTCGGTCCTTTCTCATATAAAGCTGTGAAATATTTTGGTTTGTGTGTGAGTGTTTGCTATTACGAAAACTAACAGTGCTTTCGAAAACAAAATCAAATCAATCTAAAAACTCAATGGATAACTCAATGATATAATGTGTTTAAACTACCCGTAATAAAATACATGCTTCTATTCCAAAGCACCAAATTAATGGCAAACAATTCACTTTTTGATTTGAGTTTCAAATTTGTTCATTTTATTTCAAATGCATGTGAACTATTCCAAATATCAATTGAAATGCGCTAGCTGAAAAGATAACAGACAGCCTTTTGACAGGCTTTAAGTATAATTTTGGCTGTAAATGAAAGGAAAAAAAAACTAAGCAAACTTACTTAGAATTCTTATAGAATTCCATTCTTCCACTTCCATTCACGTCATGGTTCTTCCATTTGAATCCAGTTTGAATTGGCCGCTGATCACAGTGTATGTGTATATGTGTGTAGTGAATGCTATGCATTTGCATGCTCATTCAAAACCATTCACTAAGGCTTTGTATTATTTTTTCTTCTGTAAATTCGACACAAATAAATGAATTGCCAACGAATTTAGACTAATTCAAATTTGAATGCAATGATTTTCGTCGAACGACAGTTCTGTTTCGTAGCCATTGCCAGCTATTGCATAAGCTTTAAGAAATAGAAACACGAATGCAATCATCGACGCACATACCATTTACGTAGCGGGATGCAGGTGGCTACCTTCATATGGCTTAACAACATCCAAAGTCATCGGGAAATCTAAAACCGATCACAAAAAAATTCAAGCCGTTCGACATGTTTATTTATTCGCACCGTTTTGAGATAGTCCTAATAATATCTCGTAAATTACATAAAGTGTCAAACATCGACAAACATAAAAATTACCTTGAACATTTTATGGACAAAGCAACCATATGAATTTCATACCAATCATCTCAAATTAATGGACCACACATTAGTTCGGGTTCATGAAGTTTTGATTTTATTTTCATAAGATAGGCTTTTCACAGAAATCAAAATGGAAAAAATCAAAAATGACAAGTCAAATAAACACTACCATAAATGAATTCATCTCCTTGCTTGTTTTGGTTGTGGCTTGTGTATTGATTGACACTATCCATCGGCACGGTACGTGCCAATCATCGAATGACATTGAAATCAATCCTGTGTTTACAATATAATTTTTTGCCTTTGAGTTCAAAGTGCGTAATAATGCCGGAATCAATGGCTTGCGTGTATCCAGCGTAAAAACATATGCATTTTTTGTTATGGATTGAACTTAGAAAATCGAACACTCATAACTTTTAAAAAGAGTGAACCACTTCCCAAGTTGACTGCTGGAAGGTCGATGTATCTCTTTGTTTGTTAAAAGAAAAGGGGAAAAACAGAAGAAAAAAAAGTATGCATGCTAGAGACACCCGCAAGCAAAACGAACAAATTGAAGTGTAACGAGCATACATAAATTGACCATTGATTCTGAAAAGTATAGTTAGCTTCAGCTATCAAATAGTAGGCAATAGCAATGAGCAAAGCATTTTGAATCGGAATTACCGGTAATTTGATAGTTAAAATGTTTCCATTTGTTATGTTTTATAATGCAATGCGGAATCAATTTAGAAATGATAATTGAAAAATAATACGAATTTGATCGCCAGTTCACATCGAAAATTCCATGCACTACTTACAAATACACCATGTACCTATGACAATCGATAGTAATTTTCATAAGTGTGTTTGCTACAACAGCCGAGTTAAACAAACCAAAACGCGTGAATCGACTTAGTAAAAGCAATTGTAGAGCATACTACCTACGCTACATATGCACTAGCTCTTCACAGTCCGATGCAATATTCAGACATTGATTCTTCAATACAGACATTGAAATTGGTTTGCATTTGCCAATTTTTAGAATTCACGATGAAATGCAAAGAGAAATTCATTTCTTTCCCCATTTCTTCAACCAAATGATATTCTATGAAAATGCCAACTAGGGCATAGAGGCCTTGAAGAAAATAAAAACGTCTATTAACATAAATGTTTTACACTATGAAATCTGCTCTCTATGCGTTTCTACTATGGCATTTTGCACACAATCGAAAAGGTGCGAATGAACATGGCGTATTTTTGCTAAGGATATAAACTATTATTCTATTTAAAGTTAAATAACATTACTAATTTATGACCGAATTGCTGAGAATCTACTATCACATTCTTGTGCTTTTAAGTACATTTTTAGGACCATTCTTTCAATTGTACAATAAAACTTCTTTCTTAAAAAAGGCTAAAGCATTGTTCCATAGGACTTTACACTTGCTTCAATGCATTTTTAAGCAGTTGACAAATAAAGAGGATTTCGTTCCATAAATATTTCGCAACTCGTATATAGTCCGTCTGATTTTACACTTATGATAACATTTTCGGTTTGCTGTAGGTTTACAGTGATGACATTTCTGAAAACACAAATCAACGTAACGAATATGAGTTGTAGATGAACTATATGTACGAGTACGGCATTCAAAAATATTGTTTAAATGTCAAACATTTAATCCGTCTAATCTCATTCGACATCGTCATCTTTTCGCGACCCACAATGTAAATTTGTGTGATTTATGATGTTGGTAATTTTTTTTTTTGGAATCTGCCATGAACTTTTTTGGTGTATTAATTGAGGCTGTGAGAATGAAAATGGCAATACAGGAATAAACATTCTGAAACGCATCAAGAAAAAAAAAATCGCAAAATTGAATCATGAGTTCTGAATATGCAAAAAAGAAACATGAATTTACATGGACAGCATAGGAGGTTCATGGTTCACTTTTGCGAATTTTTTTTTTCTTGAAGCGCTTCAGAATGTTTATTCCTGTATTGCCATTTTCATTCTCACAGCCTCAATTTATACTAGCCCATATATTTAGAATGTTAATATCACTGAAATCGGATCTAATTTTACGTGGCAAAAATAGAATTCGCGGGAGGTGGTTAAATGTTATATTCAGGCATTAAGTTGGGATTTAATATGAATCAACATTTTAAATCTTGCTTGAATTGTATGCTCTTGCCGCATTATCTCAATTCAAATTGCCGTATTGACCAGAGGCATTTGGTGAAACCTTATTCTAAATATTTAGCTTACGATTGGGTTTCGGACACAAACCGATAATGTTTGCCGATCGGCAAGAAGCATTACTCCGCAAATGAACTCTAACCGATTGTCGGAATACAAAAACAGCATGCCATCAAGGCAGCAAAAAGCTGTTGGACCGTGTGTCATTGAACCTAGCAAATCATTCGCTTTGCCAAAGGCATATTTTACAACATATTTGATTCATTCTGAATGCTAAGAAAACAAACAAAATATACGACTACAGTGTGGCTGAATCAGTTTTTTTTTTAGACCCAAAGACTAAATAAATTGTTTTTTTTTGTTGTATGAACCATTAGATAGATTGCATAAAACCATATATGATGTATTTTATGTGCCTTCAAATACAATACCAAGTCAAAAAGTGATTGTATAATCCGATAACCACAGAAGCATAAACACTTCCGATTCCAAATAAATTAAGACACAATTTCAGATCAACAAGAGAAAGAAATGGAAAGTGTTTCATTACAAAAAAAAAAAATATCAAAATGCAAGATGTATGGTTGAAATGGAAAGAAACATTTTTTTTTTGTTTTTACTAACTTTGTGCAATATCTTGAACAGTTGGAACGTGAGTAATGTAAGCAAACAAGAAGAAAATGTCTACACGTTTTGCAGCATGTGGTCGTTACAAAAAATGAAGTTCAACATGTTTCAGAGACTGTGACTTCGATTTGAAAGATTTGGCTTGACATTGCGGTCGATGTGTGGTTACCAAGACGCTGCTATCAATTGTTTTCTTTTCAGTACCAATTGAACGTCAAAAGATTTTAAAGATAGAAAATGCTCTATATAAAAATGGAAGTCCTTCGACCGTGTGCTTTAACTTTGGTTTTCACCAACAATAAAGCCCATTAATCGTCGGCCCATTTTCATTTAGCTTTTATATTTTCACGAGCCACAAGCCCAAGTTATACATACATACACCATACATATATGTGAAAACCTGCAAAAAACGGTTCG